CCGGGCTGGAGTGTGAGATATGCCGCCTGCCCATGGCCTTTCTGCTGCAGGTTAGTGACCAGCTGGCATTTGGACGCAAAGTAAAATAATGACGGTGTCATTAATCAGTTTTATATTGATTTGCAAATGTTTTTTCAGATTATACTGTGGCGACCCTGACCGGCCGCTGATGTTCATGTGTTCTGTTGTGTGCGAATGGGTTTGACAATGTTATTGAAGGCTGTTCATGTATTGGTTACCGCTGTTTTCTGCAAAATGCCGCGCTGTTCTGGCCAATGTGGGATGGGGGGAGGAACAGGTGCGGGAGGAGATCAGAGGGATGACAGGTGGGTGTGTTGTTTAGATTCTGTTGGCGTGGAACTCGGGTTGCTCTGAGAGAGTGTCGTTACTGTTTGTCCTGCTTTACTTTTTTCATTATTTTCCTGATGAGCACACGGTGCCAGGTAAACCGCAGTTCTGTTTTTGCATTCTCTATTCTGTCTAATAAAATCCAAAAAGACAAAGAAGGTGTTCTCCTCACTGTCAGCATAGGTGCTAGCGCATAGCTGGATAGTTAGTTGTCCCAGTATAGGACAGGGTCGGGCAGCTCCTCTCAACCGAGCTAGCGGTCGTCACAATACTTTTACACCATCTGACTCTTTTGTGGCGCAGTTTTCTCGTTAAATAACAGGCTCCAGATTCATTCTTCCATGTCTGTTGCAGGTGTACGCACCCATATCCGGTCAGGACAGAAGTTTCCACAGGACGCTCTTTGTGTTCTGCTGTAAAACCCCTGAGTGTTACACACGCAACGACAGCCGCTGTATTAAAGGTGCTCGTTGTTGCTTTGTCACTTGTCATCTTTGTTGTTGCGCGATAACGCAATAGACAGCATGTACATAATGTAACATTTAGTTCCAGCATCTCAAATATGAATGTTTTCTACTGGGATAGTGAACTAAATATGTTTGGCCTTAAAACAAACCAGTTTTTCTGTTTCAGTTTTCAGGAGTCAACTTCCCAGGAGGAACGAGTTCTACCCATACGATCCACCGCCAGGTTTGTGCATTTGCCAGAATGTCAGTATAAAACTGTAAAGCTTCATCACCTCATAATGTGGTGTCCCAGACTTGTTCAAACTGTAAATGGTTTTCATGTGTGAATACAAGTACATGATGCACTCTTATATACTGTATCTTTTAAACTATAGTGCTTTACTGTCCAGGGCTTAAATATGGATGAATAATAGTTGTTGCCAATTTGTATGTGTTTCAGCAGTAGCCGTTTATACAGTATTGGTATTTTAAAATGTAATTTAATTATTTTGGTCATGAGATGTCAATTACAGCACATTTTCAGATAAAAAGATTCTCCCAGGACGTGTGCAGTGACGTGTTTCTTGCTTTTTTGTTTGTTTTTCTTCCAAAGATGAAACCCCCACTGATCCTGAACAGGACCAAAGTGTGTTGCCTATCTCTGGAGTTAAACTCTGTTGGGTGTGTGGTTGCCTTGGCAACAAGGCCTGCTCCCGCTGTCACACTGTGACCTACTGTGGAAAACACCACCAGACCCTCCACTGGAAACACACACATAAGAAGGAGTGTTGCAGTCAAGGTGTGTGTTTGCCTGTGTTCTGCACCAAATGAAAAGAGAGACACGTGAGCACTTCCCCTGCACACACTGGAGCAGTCATGCGTGACTATAATAAAACTAGTGGTAATTTGAGAAATTGTGCTTTTGTTAATTTTTGCAAGGAGGATTTGCCAGTAGCATTTTCCAGTACGTAGAATCAAAATATCTTGTAACATGATCAGCTGCAAGTTTGAACTGAGATAGACTGAAAATCCTCCTGAACAGCCGTTTTACCTTAGCAGTCATTTACAGTACTTATTCCAGCCTGAGTTAGAATAGTGGAGTTTCTGTCTAACATAATTTCTCTGCTGCATCCTTTGTCTGTTTCTCGCTGTCTATATAGAAGCGTCCGTTGTGACAACTTCTCCCTTCCTCTTCCCTGAGTTTGAGCTGGTCACTGAACCTGAGGAGGAGGAGGAGGAGCAGGAAAAGGGGAATGAGAAAGACACAAAGGAGGCTGAAGAAGGAGAAGAGGACAGCACTCAGATTGGTGTAGACTGTCCCCCTTTAGCAGATGGTAAGGTTTGCATTATGCCTGACACACTGGTCACATCCATCCATCATCAGTACCGCTTAATACTGAATAGGGTCGTGGGGGCTGGTGCCAATCCCAGCTGACATTGGGTGAGAGGCAGGGTCCACCCTGGACAGGTCTATCACAGGGCTGACATGTAGACAAACAACCACACATACTCACACTCACTCCTATGGGCAGTTTGGAGTCACCAGCCAACCTAAGCTGCATGTCTTTGGACTGTGGAAGGAAGCCGGAGTACCCGGAGAGAACCCACGCAGGCACAGGGAGAACATGCAAACTCCACGCAGAAAGGCCCTGGGCCGGCCTGCCCTCGAATCCAGAACTTACTTTCCCAGACAGCAGTGTAAACCGCTGCACCACTGTGCCTCCCAGTGGTCACATGAAGTCATTTATTACATCTAACAAAATATGCAAGATTCACATGTTCATTAGTGCAAAAAATCCAGCTTTTATCACAATTAACTACTTATTCTTTCTCAATCATGTCTCTTCTCTGTTGAGCCCTGGCAGAGGCAGACCTGGAGGAGATGGCCCTGCATGAGACTGAAGACAACAGAGTGTTCCAGCGGTTTAAAAAGTGGATTGCTCCAGAACCACATCAGGTGAAAAAAAAAAGAAAGAAAAGGAAACTTAGATACTTTATTACAGACTCAAGGTCCAGATGTATAGTGCTAAAAAAACAATAAAACCTAAGTCACAATTGTGTTTTTTTTTCCTCAAAAACAAGCAGATATTCCTCACACTGGTGTTGTGGATCTACACAGCCGTTTTCTCTGTGTTTTTCTATGTGTAGGTGGTGCGTTACAGCCGAGGCAGCTCTCCCTTGTGGGTTTCTTCTCAGCACATCCCTTCAGATCAGGATATCCCACCATGCATTTGTGGTGCCCAGAGGACTTTTGAGTTTCAGGTGAACTGCAATATAATCTGACGTCATAAAGCATGGGTTTTCAACCAGTGGTCCCTGACCATGTGTTTATTAACATAGTTTCTTTGTAGGAATCTTTTAGGTTATTTCTTAGTCAGTGTGGTGGTCCCTGGGTCACATTTAGTTGAAGACCCTTGTCCTATAGATTTGCTTAAATCTTTTTCCTTTCATTGCTAATTATTTTCAAACCTTTAGGTTAGCTTTTATTTTCTCACTCAACTGTGCTGTTTGCCAGTTATATGAAGTTGTGTCTGTGTGATGGGAATTGATTGTGGAAGTGTTTGGCTCATCATAGGCAAGTTACACCTTCTTGACTTTAAATACTGGAGCATTGTTTCAGTGAGGTGTTAGACCACATATGTGACTGTATCTGTATAGCTCAATACTGTAAATGTGTCTGTAGGTGATGCCGCAGCTGTTAAACAGTCTGTGCGTGGACTCGACAGGAGCCAGTGTCGACTGGGGGACGCTGGTGGTCTACACATGCTCTGCCAGCTGTAACCATGATGAGCAGTACTGCCCCGAAGTTATCTGGAAACAGGACTTCAGCTCAGATCAGCACACACAGATGAAATACTCTTAATGGGTAAATCCCAGTCGTCTTACTTTATCGTTCCTCACTCAACTCAGAAGTCGTTCCGGTCTGCCATTTGAAAAACGTCCCAAAGCTTGAGTGAGGCTGCTGGATGAGACGGGTATAAGGATTCACAACAAATCAGTTGCGCAAGTCATGACCCTTTATTGGAAATCAGCTGGTGATTGGATGCTTCAGATAAAGGATAAGAGGAAAGGACTTTTCACATCAGTATAAAACACATTTCCCTCAGTTCCTCTCTCCTTGTAATTGTTCCTCATATCTTATGTGGGCAGGATTAAAACAAAGAAAAAGTACATGTGAGGGAAAGTGGATACAGTTAAGGGAATTGGGATTCATCCTACAGGAGATCCTGCACATCTATTGTTTTTAAATTCTGGTTAACATGTTTGTGAAAACACAGGTCGGAAATACCACTTTCAGTGCCACATACTGTTTGAACAACTGACAGTCAGCAAAACAACATATCAGCTTGTGCCTTAATGTATAAAAGTTTGTGACAAAGTTGACTAAATAAGTGTTCTTCTGGTTTTCTGCATTTTTCTGTGGGACAAAACACTATGCAAGTCTGATCTTCAGACATCACCCACTATCAGTGTCAAGTAACTGGTCCAAATTAAATTCAGGGTTGCACAGGTCGCAGAAAAATCTGATCTGTGGACTACATGTAAGGAAACATAACAATACCACTGCCATGTAAACGTTCACTGGGCTGTCACTAATTCCACCAAACATGCTACTTAGAGACTATGCAACTTCTGAATGGCAAAACAAGTGACAAATACAGGATAATGATAAATTCTGTAAGTAGAAGTACAGAGTAAAACTCACCTCCCGTACTAGCCATTGTACAAACACCTCAGTGTGTTCACTGGATGACAACAGATGGTGTTTCCATTAAGACCAGCACCAAAATGTTACTGGGATGAAAGAAGCAGCTTTAACAACAAAATCTGTATTTGAGATGAGATAAGATAATCCTTTACTGTCATTGTAACACGTATGACGAAATTTTAGTGACCCCCCCACTACAGCAATAGAGGAAAAAAAAAAAAACATGAAATAAGACCATATTAGAAAAAACAACCTGTATTTCCATTTTTATTAATGCACACTGCAGCACGTTAATTTCAGAGGAAGCAGAACTGCATTTAGATGTGACAGGACCTTCTGGGCTGCTACCTGGAAGCTACTAAGCTCAGAATGACTGAGACAAGTACAAATACTAAAAGCAGTTTAGGATTAATCCCCAATCTCTTCTACCATTCTGCTGTCATACAGACATCAACAGACAGAAGGTGAAAATGACTTTAGAAAAAAAAAAATTATACTCCAAAATAATTCATCAAAAGAACCTTTTTGAATATAGCTTTGAATTGAATGTCCAAAAAGAACAACTTTTAAACAATATTTAAACATGGCAACATGATGAATAGTTTATCTGCCATCATACTGTATTTTAGTGCTACTGAATTTAAGATGCAGAATGTTGCAGAGCATTCGAAGTTGAACTCGCGTCACTACAGTCAAAATACAATATATATATATGTACACACTTTTAACCATTAAAACACTTTTCAGAGATGAAAACATGAATTGTTCCTAGAGATCATTTTTTTGACAACCAGGTTTTCTCAGAAAACAGAACCAGGTGACAAATCTTGATGACTAACCAGCAACTCAATGATGATTTCAGTGTAGTTCAACTTATGTCAATTCAAAATTTAAGAGCATCCAAATTTAGGTGCTGCTGTCTCATGGCTAAATGTTAGAAGTCAAAGAGAAATCCACATCCAGAATTCTTGGAACCAGAACTAACCTCATCCCAGATCCAAATGATTTGAATGAAAAAGATAAACTGCAAGACAAAGCAAACGATGCAGTTTGGGATTAACACTCTCTTGAGCTAAGGATCTCAGCAAATACTGTATCAGGAATGTGAGGCTGATAGACGCGTCTCCATACCACTGCGGAACAAAGCGGACAATTAATAAAAATACAATGTACAAAACTATTTTAAAAACGGCGACATTCCCAACCAGACTCTCTTCTAATCAGTTATATTGACATTTTCTCAGTCTTATGTACAATCAGGGATGTGACTGGGACAACAGAGCCCTAAAAACCAGACATATGCTGAAGACAGTTGGAAATAAGCCATCACTCGTGATCAGAACAGGAAAAAAAAGAGACCTATAAAAATCATGTCTTTCCAAAATATCTGAAGCACTGGAGGGACCAAGTTAAAACTGACCAACTCACATCCCCAGGCAACAGAACAACAGCCCTTACAGCAGTTCATGTGTAGATGTCAACATGTAGATGACACTTTATTGGCTTAATTAAAAAAATAATAAAATAAAAAGAGTTGGGGTAAAAGAAAGAACTACAGGTTCTATGTTGTCTTGCGAAAGCCTTTCAGGATGGGGTAGATGTTTTCAAATGCTTCATAGATCTCTGCTCTCACCTTGGCACCTTAAAAGCAAACAGCACAGAAATCATTAACTACAGTGAGTTACATTGGCAAAGCCCAGGAAAATGCTGAATTCTGTGGCTGTGATCCTTGACACTGGGTGTCTGTTGGTACGATCTGATGCTTTAGTTTAAATATTGATTACATATGTATCAGACACATTGAACTATAACCTCCTTAATGACATTCTGTACTGTATTCCTAATTAAAAACCAACCATAATCTTAAATTATCGATCCCATGAGCAAAACTAGGAGAATGAAACGGAACTGCAGTGAACCAATTCTGATTTTTTTCTCCACTCCAAGTGACTCAGATCAGATTTTTCTCACAGATGTGTGAACAAACCAAACTGGATCCTTTTTTTTTTTTTTTTTTTAAACTCAGCTCTGGGTCATTTCATGTATTATGTGCTCCTAGATCCAATGTCATAATGGTCAGATCAGAATTCACAAGTTTAATTTAGGCCTCAAATTACTCACAGAATTATCAAAAATAAACAGCCTGACCAACTCATTGGTGAGAGCAGCAGTGGTGTCAATGCTGCTTTTTTTAAAGAATTGCACATACATAGATACTGAGAGGGGCAGTTTACAGTCGGAAAAAAGTAAAATAAACTGGTTAGCACCCTCTGGTGGACAGATTACATAGAGCAGGTCTTACCTGTGAGTACAACTTTTCCAGAAACAAAGATGAGCAGGACAATTCTGGGTTTGATCATTCTGTATATCAATCCTGGAAACAGCTCCGGCTCATAGCTGCAACAAACCAGTCACTTTAGTTTGGTCACTACAAGTCACTGAGAACCTAGTGAGAAAACCTGATGAAAAAAATTCCGGGAGTCTGCTTCATAGGTATCTGCATATTGTCTGTAACCTAAATGCTAAGTCATTCAATTAGATCATTCAAATTTCAATTGATCCCAAATCCAGGTTTTCAGATGAGACTCTCTTCTCAAATGGGTCTGAAGAAAATTCAACCCAAAGAGGAAACTAACATCTGCTCATACGTATCTGTTGATAAGAATACATAACATCTCTTGATTACATACAAAAAGATCTCACAGTGAAACGCTGGTCAAGTCAAGAAATGAGTGCCTGTGACTTTTAGCTGCATAGGACATAAAACT